TTTGCTGCATCCCTCGGATGCCGGTTAATAGAGAGTTTCCCAACTAATAAAGTGCCAGTTAACACAGCTTTTGCTGTATTACAAACAGATTAGGGAAATAAGTATTTATGTGAGGTTAGGGGTAATGACAAACTCATTTGTACACAGACTATGGAAAATGGTCTTCTGGAATGGGCAGCATGAACTTCATCATGTGTCCATGCCAATGCACCTCACTCCCAATTTGATGCAGCACCTTTTTAGATTAAGGCCTTAGCTGCATGCAGGAAGAGAACCAGTTTTAACCAAAACACATTTTTAAATCAGTTTAGTTTTAAGCAATACTCATATAGGCACTCTTAAATCCGCTGTCAAGACATTGCTTGTAGCTGGAGAAAGTTGCTCGTAGAATTAATTCTGGTTTTGGTTAATCTTCCCTGGAGAATTAACCATACACATGCCAAAAAATGAAGTCTTTATGACTCTACAGATTGTAAGTTCAGGATAGTAAATACAGAAGCAGACCTAGAGACTACTGCAATACCAAGTAGGCTTTTAAAGTTAAAACAGGTGAGCCATTTACCTATTAAGAGCCACTAATTTATTAGACTGAATATATTTCACATCAACCTTCCTAATCAAGTTTGCACATAATTTATCACAGTGCTGAGAATAGCTTTTTCCAATACAACTAGCTAGCTGAATTACTTGAAAATAAGTAGTTTCACATTTCATATTACCTATAAACAGATGGATCATTTAGGTCCAGAGAGTCACTGGTATAGTCAGAAAGGATAAATGGAAACACTGGATATTGCATGAGATCATTAAAGGAACGGCCAGCATGCTTATTTAAATGAGTCAGATATTCAAAATTAGTAATCTGTCCTGTGTACCACAAGTGGGTCAAAGCAGTAATATTTCCATATTCCAAAAGGTTAGGCAGGTTATTCGTTAAGATGCTGTGGTACACATCATCACGGACCTAAAGAGATAGAAACAGTGTTAATAAAGTGCCATGTTTTATATTTAAAAACAACTAAGTTTCCTTTCTATACAGTAAGTTCCTCATTTAGTAAGGTTGTAAAGGTCTGCTGTGGGCAGCACATTAGAAAACTGACATATGCAAAAGAGACTTATTTGGCTTAGTCTCATTGTTTGAGAATGGGGGGTAACATTTGCAGGCTTGCCAAAAAATTAGCCCCTCCCCCTGAGTGGAACTCCAATCCCCCTCCCCTGCATGATCTGGTGCTCTGCTTTCTGCCCTATCTGCTGCGTGTCCCCTCCTCTGTCTGCTACATGCCACACACAGAGGCAGCCTTGCGTCACTTTTGGCATGCATGCTTCAGGCTGGCTACTCCTGTTTTAGAATATATCTGTGACACAGTACCTAATTTAGAAGCTTGATGCGACAGACTACAGGGTTTATGGTAATTTTTCTGTGTTAACTGTGCTCAAGTTGTAATAAAATTGTATGTCTCAGTTTCCCCCTAGCTAACTTATTTGGGGGGGAGGATGTGGAGAGAGGAGGTTAGAGATGGTGAAGTCAGAGTCCCTAGGTGCCAACTGAGACAAGATGGACCTCTAACATCAGAGATTTAAATTGCTTTGCTGATGTGTCAACAAAGGTGGGATTGCTGGTGACACCCAAGAGGCTCCAGGACAGCCGAATGAGATAGGTATGGCAATGACCAGAGCAGGCAGGAAAAGGAGGCTGAGGCCATCTAAGGAGAGAGATTAGATTAGCTTTGGGACTTGTGGATAGGCAGGTTGGAAAGGGAATAGCTGAGTAACTTGGGGGTACTCAGAGCTCTGATGGCTGGATTAGGGACAGATGACTATTTAACCCTTTGGATAGGAAAGGGTCTTTTGGTTCTGTGACATCTGCTCCAATAAGTGTCTTTATTGAAAAGGACCTGTCTGTTTTGCTTCTCCCCAGTAAGCAGCAGAACTGGAAGCTAGCTCCTTGAGTCAAGGCCAGGAAGGTTTGGAGTCCAAAAAGCCAGGATCTCAAATGGGAAGAAGCCATGGCTCCCCTCCTCAGCTCTAGAAGCCACACCTGAGCTGGTTTCAGGGGGTACACTCAGAGCAAACAGGTTAGAGTGGTTCCAAATAAGCAACCCTGCTGGGAGGGGGAGGGAGCCTCTGTGCCACCTGGTTGAACCATTAACTCAGTCTGCGGTAGTGCATAAAAAAATTCTCGTAAGCCTACTCATAGCTCTCTTTAAATTGTGAATACATATATTGAAGATTGAACATACACATTGAAGATCTATCAAAACAACACTATATTACTCTGCATTAATAATGATTTACCTTTGTGTTATCAAAAGCTAAAAGCAAAGTTCTACCATTTGTCAGAAATATTTCCACAGCATTGTCTCTTAACTGCCACCAACGCTTATGAACTTCCTTAATTTCTTCATATGTCCAAGAAAAGGATGCTGGTTCAGTTTCTCCATGAAAACTCTGAAGAGTATAACAGATACAAAGTGATTTGCTAAGTAGACTTAAAACAAACACACGCACACAAAAACAAAAACAAAGTTAACCCTTTTTCAGTTTTGTCAGGTATATATTTATACTGTATACTGCAGGTGACCAAACCATAGCTTGTGAGCTGCATGTGGATCCTGGGCAGTTTAAAGCAGCTACTGAAATACATAATTTAATGACAAATTGTTCTTTGACCTGGAGCACTGCGTACAGATCAACTCTGGGGGCATGCACATTGTAAAAGCTGCATGTCCTAGAGCTCTCAAGCCATGTCAAGATTTCAGTTTGTAGCAAGGAGGATTAGGAACTTTGGCCAACTTTCCTATGTACTGTAAAATTAATTTTCTGAATAAAGTAGTTAAAGATTTTTTGTACTATAAGACAAAGCTTGAAGAATGCTTATACAATAAATGTTAAAGAACTAACTGGTGTACAAAAGATTTCATTATAAATGAAATTATCGTATGTTCATCTAGTAGAACTTTTGGTTTTAATTAGTTCCATTTCCATGCAAATAGAAGGTATTGGTAGGGATAAACGTTAGCTCAAATTTCATTATAAAAGGTAAAAGAAAGCTTTGTTTCATTACAAGTTTCACATTTCAAAAATAGCATACATACATTATTACTAGGATGCCTACATTCTAAGATTTTGACCCATGACTAAGATTCCTAAGCACTATAGCATAAGTTAATAAACCACCACATATATTAGCCAAAAAGCTTTGTCAAAATATCCTCTAACATACTGTGTTTCTGAACTATTATTAACAACCCATGAACTGGAATCTTAATACAATTTGAATTAAATTAGTCTTATGATGATTGGAAAGTTCACAAAGGTGTTCAGTCGCGTTTTAGAAAATTTAGAAGAAGGTAATCTTACTCACAGAATTTTCAATTGTATCAGAAGCATTGTCTTGAACAAAATACATTCCACATTTTCCTGCAGAGAGGAAATATTATATAAAAACAGTAACACGGCTGATTTACTGTTAGTAATCTGTAGACAGGACAACCTTTTACTAGAAACGCATTTAAAAATCTTTTAACAAGTATTTAGTAAATCCAAGTAGTGCGGTGTGCAAGCTAGAAAAGGAAGGCCAAACTAAGTTATTTTAGTAAGGTGCAACTCCAGTTAAGTAAATATCAATACAGAGTTGATGACTACTTTATGCTTGGAATGCTTGTGCTAGTGATTTTAGAGAAGTACTAGATGTTTAACTTAAGTATGAGAATGGAACAAAAACTAATTACTCAGCTTAAACTGTGATATAAATTAGTGCCTATATAGCCACATAGCAAAGCAAAACCATGCAAAACAACAGTTTAAGTACTCTACTATTCATAAACCTTTGCTAGGAGTACTATAGCTAAGTCAAACTGTGCTGATGTTATCAAATGCATACATATTACATGCCTGGCCGAAAATGGATTGTATACGCTTTAGAAAATTCAGAAAGTAACAAATAGGAATTTATTTATTTTATATAAAACTTATATATAACAAATTATAAATAGAATGCATACACAAATTACATGTAACATTTTTTCTAAATACTCTAGAGTGCATTAAATCTACTTCAAAAAATAAACTTATTGTAAAAAAAAGGGTAGAGAAGTTTAGTCAACCATTGAAACAATTTCACTTACCTAACAACAGTTCACCAGCTGTCTCTCGAGACGGTGCCACACTAATGCATCTTCGATTAACTCTGAAACAGACATGAACAATAGCACCACTTCCGATTTTTATCATTTCTAGTGTATATCCAATGTTAGCTGCTTCAAATATTACAAGTACATTAAGTGGGACAACCGCATAACTCAGACACTTGCTGATATTTGATAGAAACACTAACAAGATTCAGTACAATAGTTATCATGGTTATTTCCAAAAAAGGGAATCACCAAGTCTGTACCACCAGTCACTGCATGTAGGGCCAGAACTGCAAAATGGTAACTACCATTTTCACAGAAAAGTCAGAATTACAAGTGAAAAACTCTGTAAACATACTACAATCTTACATTATTCTACTAAATTTTCTGCTTTGAACAAGTAGACACACACAAAGTGATATATGTGCATAAATATTTCCTTGTTAAAATATCACATTGAAGTTTCTCTCATCGCTGCCTGCCATGAACAGAAGGGCCAAAAATGTTTCTTTGGGAAAGACTTTTTGCTTGTTCAAAGCTTACCTTATATTCTCACTTGCTGCTTTGTCTTTGACAGTGGAAGAGTGAGAGGAATGAGTTTTATCTTCAAATAAGTAAGACAATGGGGGTTCGATTACTTCTATTAAAAAAGAAAAAACAAGTTAAAAATAGTTGCTTGCTTTCATATAAAAATCAGTCAGACTTAACGTTAAGGATAACCTTACCCTCCTGTTTCTGCCTGTCTGGGAGAAGGTATTTATTTGGTATGGTCAAATAGCACCTCTGCAAACGGCGTCTCTCTCTATTTGGGCCTTCTGTTGGATCCAGTTGCCAAGATGTTGGATAGTAGACAGGGTCATACCAAAGTGCTCTGAAAATTTAAATACCTTAGCTTTTAAGATGCCCAGTTAATGTATCTGTTGTACAACTTTTCAATTCAAAATAGTGAAAATATAACTGCTAAAAACAGATATATAATTTCAAAGGGTGCCTACAAATGTTCAGGCCCCACTCCAACTCATGGCACTTTACACATAGTGTCTTGAGTTAGAGCAAAAGACAAAAGAGAGATTGTCCAGTGGAAAAAGCACAGTGGGTGTGTCTACATGTTTATTAATGCCCTTTAGGTAATGTGCATTAAATCTAGTATATCCACTGTAAGGTACTAGAAAAATGTGGATTAGCCTGTTTTAATGGGCATTGGCTGAAGAGCATGGTTTTTTGTGACGCTTTAACGTGCATTAAGATAGGCTAATATGCATTTAAAGTCCACATGTAGGCATGTCTAGTGAACCCTGTCTAATACGGAGTCTGTAAAAGCCAAAACCTGCTCAAGTTGGAAAGTTTGTATAGTCCCAGCCTGCTTTATAGGAATTGTGTATATGTGATCTGCATAAATTGAAACCATCTAGCATAGAACAGGAAAGAAAATTTGGGACCCATTTGTAGAATCATCCTGTATATTACAAAAAGTAACTACCTATTTTGTGCAAGGTGTGAGCACGAGGCAAAGAGAGCAGCTGAGCAGCAGACAGCACTGAGCAGAGGGGCTGGGAAGTTTCCCCTGAGGCAAAAACCTGCCCAAGCCAGAACTTTTCACAGTCCCATGTGATTGTGTCTTAGACTGGTTTCACCGTGCTATCAAAGTGATGCTGTGAAGTTTCATACTATGTAAAGATTTAATATTGCTGATTTTTAAATTGATCTTGAATATTTGGTTTGTAATAGCAGCATGTGGTACTTTAGTTGAAGTTCTATATTTCCTTATGTGGTTTAATTAATTTTGCACCACAAATAAAAAGATACAGTTTACGCCAGACTAACTGTACGCCTAGTGTTCTTGTACTTTTGCTACTCTGCCTCTCAGACAAAAATGACCATTTCTTCTTCTTCTCTTCCCCGCAGTATGTACATCAAAATATACCTGGCAAATTGTCTAATTATTTAAAAAAATCTAGAAGAGTCATTTGACTGTCCACTTAAAATATACAGGAAAACAGAATCATTTTACAAATCTTAGAAACAGTTGAACTATTTTGGAAGAACAAATCATATTAACCTACTCCTGCTTTCAGCAGCATCTAGAGGCAATTTTAATTGACAACAACACTCTTGACTCAGCAATGAACATAGAATAGACACTTAAGGTCAGCAGTACAAATTTACAATGAAAGTCACTTACCTATCATGTGTAAGCTGCTGAACAAGTTCCTGCCAGTGTCTACTGGCACTTAAGTCTGCCTTATATATACCCCTAATATGCTGAATCACCTTCTTTCTTTCCATCCCCTGAGAGAGAGAGACTGTTTGGGTGATGTCTGCAGCTATTTTGGAAATATCTTTTGACTTTGCATCCAGCCGTTGAAAGAGACTAAAGGAAAAAAAAGGGTAATATGAACCAGATTATAAAATGCTTAACAAACGCTTTGAAAATTGAAGACAAACATATGAGAAATGTTTGCAAAGTGCAGTTAGTTCTGCTCTCAGTACCTGGGGTTCCCGTTATGGCAGGCTCACTACATTCATGTCCTCGGGACTAATGACAGACATTCAAAAAGCCTGAGCCTGAACTGATTCAATCTTTGAAGGTTAGTCTAACCTGCAAAGCTTGAACTGATTTGGAGGTGGATAGACATTCCCTTTTTGTTCCAGAAATGCAGGCACATTCCTGCAGTGGCTCAGGCTAGAAACCAGGGAGCACTACAGCAGCCCTCCCTTTCTTCCTAGGGTACTGAGCTGAGGGGGTGGGGCATGGGAAGGCCCCAGCAGGACCCTCTGATTAGGGAGGGATTTCTCCCCTCCTGGTCAGCAAGGGAGCCAGCAGGGATTTACAAAGCACTGAGTTACACAGCAGGGAGTTACACAGGGAGCATTTATCACCCCATTAGCAAAACAAAAGGATCTCTCATTAGTTCAAGCTCTTCTTAAACCACTATTTCCAAGGAAGGAATGGAGGAACATTACCAGCTACCTGTTGCTTAGCTCCAAAGAGCTCTAAGCAGACACTGTCCTGTCTGCCTTTGTCCTGTCTCCCACTGCATGTACTGTAGCCAGAATGTGGTATACTAGCTAATGCTGAGAGGTGTCTGTGTAAGGTAGAAGGGAGGGGGGAAATCCCTGCTTGAGCAGGGAATGGGGGTGGGAAGCAGGAGGAAGCCAGGTAGACCCTGCTGTACCTGCAGTCTCTCCCCTCTACTCCCTGGCTTGCAGCTCTGGGAGGGGCCAGCCCAGCTCTCTGAACCATAGAGCCCTGCCCAGACCAGAGAGCATGCAAGGATGCTGGGGCTGTCTGATTTAACTTAAACCAGGAAGGGGTCTGGGCCAGACATTGCATAAATTGGTTTGACCCAAATTAGTTAAGTCTGATACTACCATCAACCAGGTTCTCTCTCAAGCCGGTTTCAGCCATTTTCAAACTGGTTTATGTGCACTGAACATCTGTTCTGTTACAGGTTTAAACCAGTTTCTGATCACTTCAACTGATTTATGTATGTCTGTCCCTAGCCTAGGAGTACAGTCAGGATTTCTCCTGAGACAAAACCTGGGACTCTACAGGATACAAACCCATTGTCCTACTTAGTACCTGAGAAGTAAGTATCCAAGATAACACTTCATCCTGGGACAATCAAAGCTAATTTGAGTTAACTACCAGTCATTCCAGGTACAAGCTGCATGTGTAAAGGGCTATGCTGTTCCCAGGTTTTGACTTGGATCAATCAGAACCAACTCAATGCAAAGTTTGTTTTTACCTTCAATCATGGCTAACTGGTGCCAGCTTAGTCGAGGGGCGGGGGCCTGTGCCCCCTTCAGCAACCAGTCAGCAACTGGGGGAGCCAATCTTGCTGACCAGGGAGAGGGTGGGCAGTCCCCCCACAGCTGATAGCGCCAACCCGGAAGTGGCCACTCCTAGAAGTGGCCATGGTGCTTCATCCAGTGCTCCCACTCTCCAGCCAGCACTTGCACAGGGGAGTGGGGAGGGGGGCACCAGCACTCTTGCTTGCCCCCCACCCATCGCCTAAGCAGGGAGCATGGCCTGTCAGGGGGTGCACCAGCACTCTCAGGGGGTGCATGTGCACCCCCCATATGTTGCCACTGCCTTCCATGATTCCTTAGATAGGGTGTGGACAGATGTATCTTTTCAACATAATGGGCTTCAAAACATTTCAAAAAGATGCCAGGCACACATGCAACCCATCAAGCAGCTATTTGCAGTGGCATACTACATGGGGCTGCAAAACCCTCTGGCTCACTCCTGTCTCTCCACCCCTCTCACCCCCACCCCTGCTGTCACCACCCTCTTCTGCTCCCATCTTCAGACTGTCAATGCTGCTCTGAAGCTGCCATTTTCCCCAAGGCTCTGCTCCACCCCCAAATAAGGTGATAGGAGAAGAGCTGATGTCATTGGGTGCTCTCCTGCACCTCAGCCTTCACGGTCCCTAGGCACCGTCCACTGCAACTGGAGATCCTCTTGCCCTCTGCCAGAACTGGAGAGATACCAGGGACTGGGGAGTGGGGT